TTCCTTTGCCTGCTTACCTCACTTTAAAATACAATTGAATCACATCATTTATCTGCTTAAAATTTTCCAATGGTTTCCCATTGCTTTAACTATAAATTCCAGGGCAAGGGGTGGAGTTCAGTGTGTTCGCCTAGCATGCTAGAGCCCCTTGGTTCCATCCCCAGCAATACACACACACACACACACACACACACACACACACAAACACATTCACTCCAGTTTTGCTGAGCAACTAGAAGTGGGGAGAGCAGAAGGAGAATGTTTGGCTGGATCCAGAGTTGGGTTGTGAAACTGCCAGGGAACAATCTAGGGTGGAGGAAGGGAAGATAGGGTGGATACCAACAGCTTGGAAGAGTAAAAAAAAAAAAAAAAAATAGAGTACTGAAGTAAGGGTGGGAGTATGAAGGAAATATATGGAAGAGAGAAAATTGGAGACATCTAGGTTAAGCTTGTGTGTAGAATGTTCCGGCTAAGACAAGATTTGAGCTAGGAACATTTAAGGCTTTTCTGAAGAAGCATATTTTGAGACAGATAAACTTTTTCCTCTTTCCATAAATGGCACCACCTCCCACCCAGTCACCCAAGCCTGAAATCTGGTGTCGTCCTCAGAGTTTAGACTGGTTTTTTTTTTTTTGCCTCCTCCCTCATATTCAGCTGGCCATCAGATCCTTTCGATTTCCCAAACAGCTCTTGATTGCAACTGCATTGGCTGGAAACCTCAAAAGTGTTTACAACACTTAGCCTCAGTCCTAATAAGCCCTATTCCCCTGCCCCACTCCCCTTTAAATTGTAACCATGCCACTCCCAGGCTTAAATTTTTCTAGTGGCTTCTCTTTGCTTTAAGATACACTTACCATGGCAGACAAGGTCCTTTGTAATCTGGCTACTGTTTCCCTCTCCGGCTTCATTTCTTTTTTCTTTTGCAAAGCTTGTATGCTCTATTTATAGCTCTTGAAGACCATGTGTTTCCCTTGCTTCTGAGCTTTACTCACATAATTCCTTGTGACTAAAGGTCCTTGGAAAGATCTTCCTTGTCTTTGCTTGGATCTTGTTTTTTCGAAATTCTTTACAATTGTAGAGATGTGAGAACCCTTTTCCTTCCCCAGGAGATTTAGCTGTCAGAGTCTGAGTAGCCTCTGTGTGTGTTCCTGGCATAGAATTTATGATGATCTGAGAGCTCTAGAGGCAGCTCTAGATTTACTTCACCTGTAAAGCTCAAGCTCTACAATAAGGTCTTAGTCAGAGCACATGCTCAATGGATATTACTGAATCAAAGAAGGAATGAGTGAATGTTGAAGTTACCTTAGCTAGTGGCAGGAGTTGGGGTGGAGGACTATGTATGAGTCAGGGGTTAAAGTCCTGGATGAACATGAGAGTTTACTAGCTGTTTTATGGGACCCAGCCATTTTTTTTAAGGGAAATTGCTTTGTCTACTACTCAGCTATCCTGTAGTCCCCATGCCTGTACAAATGATTAAATTTAAATGATCCCATCTCTCTACTGGCTTGCCAAGGAATGACGACCTGTGAGGCCTGACATAAAAAGATGAGCTGGGCTAATTTGATTTTTCTCCTGAGATCTGGGAATTGGGAAACAGATTGAAGTGATTAATGACATCAGGAGCACAAATTGAAAGGATGTATCAAGAATTGGCAAGGAACATATAGCAGAAGTTGTAGAGTGACCCTGAAACATACTTTTTTATGACCTGTGTAATGTTTTCTAATTGATTAAAAGGTTACCATATTTGAAAATAAAATGCATTTTATTTTCATTAAAATAAAAATGCCAGATTTGCATTAAAATTTAGCTATTTGACTTCTCTTATACTATCTGAAGATCTGGTGTGTCAAAAACTGTCTGGAATTTAGCAGTACACAGGGCACATCCTTTCCATAAACGCCAGCTCCCACCACGAGTTACTGCTCATTCTTGGCCAGCTCCATCCATTCATATCACCTGCTAGGTCCTGGTAGTTGTCTGATAACCAGTGTGTAGAAGCAGCCAGTAGCAATGATGACATGCAAGCCAAGTTCCAGGGAACTGAATCCATAAAGAACCCAGAGGAAAGTTGGCAGGATGTGGGAGTAGGAAGAAGAGAGGATACAGACTTTGGGAGTTCCCAGATGTGGCTGTGGTCCTGCACTTTCCAGTTTGAGCACCTGCCTACAATAATTCTCATCACAACTCCCTTTACTTGAGATAATTTGCAATGCAATTAGCCAAGCAAGGACAAGGAGTTACAGGAAATTGGAGGATGACAGCAACAGGCAAGCAAGATAGTGGTATGGCTAGATGGCATTAACCTTAAACAAGGAGAAATTCTTGCATAAAGATGGAACGTAAATTGTAAATTTTCAAGAGTTAGGTTTTTGCTGACCATGTATTCTGATCCAGATACACCAGAGATGGGATATTGAACAACCTCTGCTGAACAGGATAAATGGTTTGAAGAAAGTCAGGAGTAGTTTGGGAAAGGCTACAGGTGTCCAGAATTCTAGAGGATTGGGAGAGAGGGACTGAGAAGTCTAAGAAGAATAAATTTGGGAAAGATTTCATGTTTGGTAATTTATATCCTTTTAGTGTGTACTGGGCCTTGTGAGTAACTATTACCATGTGTTGAAAAGAGAGGTCTGCATTTCAGCAAAAAGAGAAGACTTCCAGAAAGAGTTGGCATTTGAGCTGTGTTCCTCCTTCTTCTCCTGTGCTAGGGATTGTCCTCTTGGCCTGGAGCATGCTACGCAAGTGTTCTACCACAGAGTCATATCCCCAGCCCTGAGTTGCTTGAAAGACATGAAAAGGAAATGCTGTACAAGCAGCCAAAATCACAGAGTGAAGGCAGATTTCTCAAAGGGAGAGTGGGCAGTTTGCAGTTGGGTTCTGGTGTCATAGAGCCTATATTTGGCCTGAGTCATCTGACAATTTATTTTTTTATTTTGGGACCTCTATTTCCATTATTATAAGAAAAGGGTAATAATATTGTGCTTCTATTCCAAAATCCACTGCTCCACTGTCCCCACTCCACCCCTCTCCTTTTTTTTTTTTTTTTTGAAGTACTGGGGATTGAACCCAGAGCATCACACATGCTAGTAAGTACTCTACCACTGAGCTACCTCCTTAGTCCTACCACCCCACTTTTAATGGTTCTTACTCCAGGACATATCTTATAGTTGATACCTCAAAATGCTGACTTTATCACAGAGCAGAGAAGAAAGATTTTGACTGAGACTATGCAAATTTAGCTAACTGCAGAATAAAGGTGTTCTTTGATTATTGGCTTAATTATTTGCATTTGTGGTACCATACGCCTCAATTTTATTTATTTACTTATTTATTTAGATAGGGTCTCACTACATAGCCCAAGCTGGCTTCAAACTAGAGATCTTTCCATGCAGTTGAACTTTTAATTTGATCCCCAAAATGCCATTTCTGGTGTTTTCCAAAATTCTACACTGTGATGAAGCTTTGGAACAATAAGCTATTGTATATGCAGATTAGTTTTTTCATAAATCAGGAATTAAGTTAAATGCAATAGAAATGGCCAAATCTCTTGGTAAATTTGATATACAAGTTCCAATGCTAGAAGTTAGCTGACTAGCTGATGTATCTGAGGACAGAGAACATCTAACAGTCAATGTTTCTAGCTATGGAGGGAAGCTGTGTGGTTGGGTGGCGTGGCTCAAGGAGTAGAGTACCTGCCTTGCAAGGGCAAGGCCCTGAGTTCAAACTCCCATACCTCAGATGAGAGAGAGAGAGAGAGACCCATGTAGATTACAAGGATATGCAATTCAATTGAAAAATGAAGCCAAGTTTATAAACACATAATGCTTCTATAGCCTTTGAAATGTTTCAACACTATATTGTTACCTTTCAGAGATCAAGGTCTAACCAGAGGTTATGGAAAACAGTATGCCATCATACTATACTTAGGCACATGGTCAAAGGTTATATTAAGACTTTAGGTAGTGAGAGGGCTTAGATTTAACCTTTGATTATGGCACTAAAGAAGAAAGTGGTATAATTATAATAACAAACATTTACTGAATAATTACTACGTGGCACTGTGCAAACTGGATAATTTTATCAGATCAATGATGTCATCTTTGTCTTAAAGTGAGAAAGCCAGGAGGTAAATCCAGGAAGTTTGACTCCACATTCTCAATCAGAGTGATTCTGCTGTTAGAACATCCTACCTCTGCATTTTTTAAATTTAATTTTTTAAAAGTATGGGATACACCCATATTTTAAGGTTATTTTTAAAATAATGTATCCATTATACTTTTTTTTTTTACAATCATTGGCAATACTTGCTTTGTAGGATTGTGAAGATCAGGATCATCTTAAAGTGCTTTTAGAAAAATTGTTGATCAGAGGGGCAGGTGTTGAAAGTGGAGCACAATGAGCTGATTTTGTGAACCCTATCATCGCAGAACAGGAGAAAACTGCTGGGCAGAGTGTTAGGACGAATGGCTTCTATGGTTTGGACAGCAGGTCCTCCACACCAAACACCCTACCTTTCACACTTGTCTTAAGTCTTTCTGATCTTTCCATGCCCATCCTAAATGTCAGCTCTTGGAAGTGATCTTTGCTTATATAAAAAGATGCATGTGGGAGCAATTTTCAAATTAATAAGTGAAAGATGGACTTTATTATTAAAGTTGCCCTCACTCCTCTCCTGGCCTCAGTTTCTCTAAACTGAAAGGAATCGGTAGCTTAGTATCTCTTAATAAGTTCTGCCCCGCTCTCTTCAGATTTCTGCCAAAGCTGCTTTGAAGAGCAAATCTTTTCCGACCTGCAGGAGGCAGCTCCACTGCACTGGCAGCTCTGCACAGCAGGGCTGGGGAAACAGGAGAAGAGGCGGGGGCTCTAAGGGAAGCGCTGCGCGCGGTCACGTGACTTCCTTCCCCAGTAACCTCAGCGGCCGGCCTCCCAGCAACCGGTGCAGCCCGCCTAACGACGCCCGTGCATCCCGGTTGGCCGCCGGGGGCGGTTGTGGCAAGGCGGTGCCCACGGTCGCGCTGCTCATTGGCTCAGACTGCCGTCGCTCAAGCGCGTTGCCCGAGCGCCCGCAGGCGGTGCTTCCGGAAGCCCCTCCCATTGGCAGCCGGGTTTGTGGCTGGCTGGCCACGACTGTCACTCCGGGGCTGTTTCCCCCAAGGCCAGCGCTCAGCTTGGGGCGGGAGGAAGAGGGGCCGGACTAGGGCCTGAGGAGCCGTCGCTGTCTTCGCGGCTGCTATGACCAGCGGGCTAGAAGCCCTCCACAGCTCCGCGCAGCGCTAGTGGCGGCCGTGCACCCGCTGAAGACGTCTGGGTTCCCCGTGCCGCCGCTCCCGCGGGCCTCTCGGCTCTTCCAGTGCCGCCCGCGAGACGAGGCGGAGGCAGGATGAAGATGACGGTGGATTTCGAGGAGTGTCTGAAGGACTCGCCCCGCTTCAGGTAACCGGCACGGCCGGCTGGCGTCTCCCTGGAGCTGCCTCGCCCGCCGGCGGGGCCGTGAGCGCCCGGCAGGGCCCGCAGTCCGCGCCTTCCGACGGGGCGAGCAGCCCTTGCCGCAGCTTAACACACGGCACGGGCACTGCAGCCCACTGGCCGGTCCTTCCCAAGGGGCGAGGCGTGGCCGGGAGGGGGACGTAGCCTCTTGGTCCTCTTTCCCTCGCACTCTGTTTGGGGCGGAGGCCGGGCGCACCTCCTGCTTGGAGGAATCGGGGTCCCGCCGCGTTCCCGTAGTCTGTTCCCCTTTGCGGGCGTGCGCCCTCGCCCCCTTCCTCTTGTTGCTGCCCTTCCTTTCGCCTTCCTTCCGCTCCTTCTTGGTGTCCACCCCCTCTCCACCCGCCTGCGAGCGAGCGTTCAGGGCATCCTCTTGCAGTTCACTTAGTTCCTCTTTGCGCTTTTCCGCCCCCCTCACCGAGGAGGAAGGAGCAGGGGCGAGCTGGGACTTCTGTTGCGTGTCCCCTGCTCCAGCAGAGGGGCGCTCGGGAAGGCGCTGGCGGTTGATTTGTTGGGAAGTTGAGGGGGGGGGGTGCTTTGACCAACCGCATTCCATCGACCCTGGTGGGTGACTGTCTCCACTTGGGTTCGTTGAAGGGGGAAAGGCTGCCGAGAGGTACTGGGCTGAGGGGTGAGCACCAGGAAGAACAGCATTTCTGTTTTGGGAACGGAAGTAGGAGGGCCCTGAAGATTGCATTTGTGTTCCGCTTCCATCAGCCTTGGCCCCGGAGGGCCCCGGATTACAGTAAGATGCTCCCAGTGGATCTGTCACTTAAAGTGATGTGGTGGCCCTCTGATTCACATGGCCTGCCCATTCTTACATTTGAGAGGTGGCAGTCCTGAGGGGGTTCAGATTCATCTGTTTCGAGCATTGTAGGAAACTTGTCTTTGAGAAGAGTTTTTCTAGATTGTAATTTGACAGGGCTAACCTTAGGCCTTAAAATAAGGTTTTAAAACTTCTTTTAGATAATGACATTTCTTCTTTTCTTTCTTTCTTTTTTTTTAGTGAAAGAGATAATGAAGTTTATTAGGAAAGAATTTAGTATAGCAGGATAAAAGTGGGGAGAAATGGAGGAAAGAGGGAGAGACATTTCCTGCTCAGCATGCAGGAAATGGGAGTAAAGACTCCAGATAGTGACATTTCTTGAAAGCTTCCTCCCAGCATTTTGTGTGTGTGTGTGTGTGTGTGTGTGTGTGTGTCCAGTGTGTACTGATATCCCTGTGTGTGTGTGTGTGTGTGTGTGTCCACTGATATCCCTGCCAAGCCTAGATTGTAAATTCTGGCATCCTCTGCCTGGAACTAACTGTTCTCATCTTTATCACTGTTAATTTGATTAATTTCCCATTTTGCTTTCAGTGAAGAGCAAGGAAAGAAGTGTCAAACGAAGGAACTTTACATCTTAGAGAATGTTTAAGAATACTTTGGCCATTGGTCTTTTCTGGGTGTTAATTTTACTTGGAGCTTACCACTGTTGCTTGTAAAAACAAACTGCACTTGGTTTAATTACTGTTGTTGCTGTTAGATTTTGAAACTATATTCTGGGTGAATTGAAGGACTTAGGGGACATAAATGGGTTGTTTAGCACAGCTTTGTAGGTTAGTTTCCAGGACAGGGTGGCAAATGAAGTTAAGTTTTAAAGAGTACCTTAGAAAGTTCTACTTTTTGGTGACATTTTGGTTAATATGTTTCAGCTGTTTATTTTTAAATTAAGTAATCACAGAATTTTTCTCTTTAGAGGATATAGTTTTGTGTTCTCTTGGTTTCATATTTAAAAATTTAAAAAAAAATTTTTTTTGTGGGACTGGGGTTTGAATTTAGGACTTCCCGCTTGTAAAGCAGGTGATCAGCAAAGCAGGTACTTTATTGCTTGAGCCACAGTCCTTGCTGTGGTTTTTTTTTTTTTTTTTTTGAGATGGGGGTCTCGTGAACTGTTTGCTTAGGCAGGCCTTGAACCACCATCCTCCTCATTTCGGCCTCCTGAGTAGCTAGTATTATAGGCATGAGCTATCAGTGCCCAGCCCACTTTTAAACTTGATTAAAAACAACAAGAATAACAACAACAAAAAACTAGTTAAGAGAAGTGATTTGAAATGCTTCTAGCCATTGGTGTTGGTTACAAACTGTGATGCTTTTGTTTTTAAAATAAAGGAATCATTAAATATAAAATAAAGATACTGATTAAGTTGTATGGTGCAGTACAGCAAACTTTTGTTAAAGTTAAATGTGATACCTATTCTATTTTAGAGTAGACATTTTTAGGAGTAGTACTCCAATTATTGTCAGCTGCAGATTGGGAAGAGATACCAAGATTCCAAGAACTCCACACATTTTTTGGGAGTAGAATAGATTTTCAGTAGGTGGAATAATGCCAAGAAATAGAAGTGTTATTATTTACATTCCTAATATTTATAGTTTTTTTTATAGTCCTGCCACTGTATAGATTGGGACAGCATTTGGGTAGAATATTTCTAAGTCTCTATTCACATGCTGTATGTATAGAAGCATAGAGTATTATGTGAATTATGAGTGCTATATTAAAACTCATGAAAATAGAAAATTTTTGAGCTGGGCACAGTGGTACACACCTATAATCCCAGCTGCTCCAGAGGCTGAGGTTGGTTGACAGCCTGGACAACATAGCATGACCCCTGTCACAAAAGCAGGAAAACAGACAAACCCAATCAACTAACCAACCAACCAAACAAACCAAACAAAAACACTAGAGAAAAATCATCAGGGATGGCCTTGTTTTTGGATAGTAAGGCAGCTGCACTTGTAGTGGCCTGCTCTGTTGTGCTGTCTTTTCACTGATTACCATTTTTATTTTCTTTCACACATGAATCGTATGGCATTTAAATCTGGCATGTGCATATACTACCTTGTGTGCTGTAGAGTTAATGCAAACAGCAGATTTTGCTGAAGAAAAAATTCACCACTGTTCAAAAGTAAAGCATGCATTCTTCCTATTAAATGGATAAGGAAATAGGAGGACAGGGCTGGTTGAAATAGGGACAGGGATGTTGTAGTTGCAACATTGTCTTTAGTAATTTGAATAAACTCAGTGGTTACTTTTACATTCTAGTGAACTGTTTTTTGTTTTCAAGATCAGAGGGCACATTTCATTGTGTAATTTTAGGTTTCATTTTTAAGTCTTTTTTTTACACCAGTGTAAAATCGACTTAAAGGTCAAAATCTTGTTCTTGTACAAATCTATAAGAATGTGACTGTGTGTAAGAGTACTTTTTTGTTTTCAATGGAACTTTACATTTTGATCAGCAGTTGAGTTTGGACTTGTTTGGGGCCTAAATTGTACATAGTTGCTCTATAGAATTTTATAAACTTTTAATAAAAATTGTGTGTTTCCAGCCAGATATAATACCAACCTTTGTCAGTAATCTCAGCACTCAGTAGGTCAAGGGTCAAGGCAAAAGAATTGTGAGTTTTAGCCTACCCTGGGCTACATGGCAAGATACTGCCTCAAAAAAAGAAAAAGAAAAAAATGTTTCCTTTACTTAAACATATTTTGGTTCACTCAGGAAGTGACTATTTTGTTCAAAATAAAAACTTGAGAGGGTAAGTGTGATGGTGTGCACCTATAATTCCAGCAGTAAGGAGGCTGAGGCAGGAGGATTGCGAATTTGAAATCATCCTGAACACACATACAAAAACAACAACGAAGTTGAATTATTTCTGAATCGGGAAGGATTTTTTTTGCCCTTGAGCATTGTTCAGATATAAGAATATTTGCCTTACTAAGCTTTCAATCACTTTAGTCTTTCTTGATAGTTTTTTTTTTTTTAATTTTAAATTCTTTAACAATGTCTGTGGTGCATCATCCTGGAGGTTTTTTGGTTATAGATTATATTTCATATACGGTCCTTGCTCAATAACTTAGAGTGAAATCTTTTTTAAAAAGTTGTTTATGGGTGAAAGACATTGGAATATCATGTGAGTATGTGTACTTTGGTTGTTTTCTATTAAGCTGGTGCCAGTCCTGGCTGATTTGCCACTTTATATTCCATTTTTATGAGGTAAACTCTTTATCAACTGGCACCTTACATATTGATAATATAGTGAGCAAAAGATAAGGGAAAATGTATTTTTATCTTAGAAGTGGTAGAAGTATAATTTTATGTGCCAAAATAAACCAATACTGGTATTCCTCCTAATTTCTTCATTTAATGTAATACCAACCTGTGTTGACATAAAGAAATAGTTTTAGAGCGTGCTAGACTGCATACTGGACAGGTACTTTTTTTTTCTTTTTTGTGGTACTGGGGCTTGAACTCAGGGTCTTCACCTTGAGCCACTCTGCCAGCTTTTTTTTTTTTTGTGATGGGTTTTTTCCAGATAGGCTCTCACAAACTGTTTGCCTGGGTTGGCTTTGAACCACCATCCTCTTGATATCTGCTTCTTGAGTAGCTAGGATTACAGGCATGAGCCACCAGTGCTCGGCCTAGACAGATACTTTTATATCTGTTTTCTCACTTAACTTCTAAAATATCTTATGAGGTAGGAATTGTTTTTATTTTATTTATTTATTTGTTTATTTATTTATTTATTTATTGCAACTGGTTATCACTGTGTAGCCCAGGTTGGCTTCAAACTCACTATGTAGCTCAGATTGGCCTCAAACTCATACTCTTTCTGCCCCTATCTCCCAAGTGCTGGCATTATAGGTATGTACTACCACGCCTGGCTGAAGTAGGAATTATCATCATATTTTACATGTGAAAGAAAACTTACCCCCCTGGATTTGCTTTCAAGGTTTCAGTTACATCCATCTATCTCAGTCCTGAAAATATTAAATGGAAAATTATATAAATAAACAATTCATGTTTTTAAATTTTGCCTTTCTGAGTAATGTTATCCGCTGGGATGTAAATCATCCCTTTGCCCAGTGTATTCACAAAATACATGCTACCTACCCATTAGTCACTTAGTAGCT